CAGGCGGTGTGGGACTGCTGGTTTCGGTCCAAACCCCGCAGGCTACTCCAAGGGACCCCACCGGGGCATAAGTCCCTGCACCAGGCCTCTAGTTTTATTTAACTGTCTGTTTTCTTGTAGTTCAGTAAATATTTGTAAGAGGATTATTCTGAATTCTTCGCAGACAGTTCATAAACCTCCTTTTCTTTAGGATTAGTTATTGGAATTTATTACTTTCCTTTAGTGGTGTCATGTTGGCTCAGCACTCTATCCAGTGCCATTGTAAGCAGAGCTGTAGGTTGGGCTATGCAGCTACCCGAGTATTCTGGTTAGGCTGCATGGCTGGGTAGGCCTGGAGGCTGTTTTTAGCCCTATGCAGGGCTCCAAATTTGCTTCCCAAACTGGTCTGTGCAACAGACGCCACAGTTGATACGGCTTGCTGGCTGGGAACCTGAATAAGATAAAACTGAGCACCAACCTTCCGGGCCATATGGGGTCACCAGCTGGGTTTTGCAGATGAGCAGGATCACTGGTCGGGTGCTCTGCTTACGTACTCTGGCCTACTTAGCTTCCCAGGTGCTCTGGCCAGGTTTCTTGGGGAGGTGGGCCTGGAGGCTGCACTCAGCAGTAGACAGCTAAGAATTGGCGTCCCTGTCCGAGTGGGCAGCATAACTGGCTCCCAAGCCAGCGAGGCTCGTTGTTTGAGGTCTTAAATCGGGCAAAACTGTGCACCGAGTTTCCTGCCAGATGGGATCACTGTCTTGTGTTCATATTCTTAAGAAACTGTCAAGTGATTTCCACTGGCAATGTATGAATGATCCATTGTCTCTACATCCTCTTAAGCACTTGGTGTTATCACAATTCTTCATATTAGCCATTTTAATAGATGAGTAGTGGTATTTCATTGTGGTCTTAATTTTGCAATTTCATAGATTTTTGCTTTTTACGTTTCCTTCTGCATATCTTGAGTTTAATTTGCTTTTTTTTCTAGTTTCTTGAGATGGGAGCTTATATCATTGACTTGAGACCTTTATTCTTTTCTAATGTCAGTGCTTAGTGCTATGAATTTTTCTCTGTGTTGTTTTAGCTACATCACACACATCTAGATATATTGTATTTTCATTCTTATTCAGTTTAATGTGTTGTTGTTTGTGGGGGTTTTTTCCTCTTGAGACCTTCTCTGACTCATGGATTAATTAGAAGTGTGTTATTTAGTTCCCAAGTGTGGACAATTTTATGTTATCTTTTTCCTATATCTAGTTAGATTCCACTGTGGTCAGAGAACATAGAATGTGTGATTTCAGTTCTTTTAAATCATTTGAGGTTTGTTTTGTGGGTCAAGATACTGTTACTCTTGGTATATATTCCACAGTCACTTGAAAATAATATGTATTTTGTTGTTTGGTGGAGTTTTCTGTAAAAGTTTATTAGATTGTGTTAGTTGATGGTATTATTGAGTTCTATATCACTACTGACTTACTGACTTCTTGATTAATGTTAGAAAGAGGTATTAATGTTTCCAGCTGTAATAGTATATTTGTCTGTTATTCTTTTCAGTTCCATCAGTTTTTGCTTCACATATTTTGCAGCTCTTTTGTTTGGTACATACACCTTTAGGTTTTCTTCTTGGTAGATTGACATGACGTAATGTTACTCTCTGTCTCTGATCATTTCTCTTGCTGAAGTCTACTCGGTAGAGCCATACCTGTTTTCTTTTAATTAATGCCTGCATAGTCTGTCTCTTTCCATCCTTTTACTTTCAACCTAATTATGTAATTCTATTTGGAATGAGTTGCTTGTAGGAAATATAAAGTTGATTCGTTTTTTCAATCTATGCTGCTAATGTCTGTCTTTTAATTGGTGCGTGTAGACTGTTTACACTTATTGATTTACATGTATTGCAGTTATTGATACGTTAGTATGTAAGTCTGCATTTTTTTGTTTGGTTGTCTGTTTAGTCACATTGATTGGTTGCCTCCCATTCGCACACTGACTGGGGCCAAGGATCAAGCCTGCAACTAAGATATGTGCCCTTGACCAGGAATCAAATCTATGACCCTTTGGTCTGAGGGCCATGCTCTAACCACGGAGCAAACTAGCCAGATCCATACTATTCTTAATATTGTACATTAGCTATCCAGTGAAACTTGATTTGTGCTATGAAAAATAATAGGCACTAGCCACATGTCTTAGTTGAGGGTTCTCCAGAGAAATGAACCAGTTGGAGGGAAGGAGGGATAGATGATAGATAGATAGATAGGTAGGTAGATAGATAGATAGATAGATAGATAGATAGATAGATAGATGGATGGATGATAGATTGATTTACTATAAGGATTTGGCTTCCATGTTTATGAAGGTAGAGAAGTCTCACTCACCAAGCTGGAGACCCAGGAGAGCTGATAGTAAAGTTGTCTCTCTGAGTCTTAGTTTGAGGAGAAGTCTGATGTCCCAACTCACAGTCAGTCAGGCAGAGAGAAGTAATTCTTTCTTACCTTTCTGTTTTCTTCAGGCTTTCAGTGGATTGGGTGAGTCCCACTCATTAAGGAGGGCAATTTGCTTCATTCAGTCTACTGATTCAAATGATAATCTCACCCAGAAACACCCTGGCAGACTCACCTACAAATAATAGTTAGCCAAATAGTGAATTGGACACATAAAAGTAACCATCACATTACCAGAATATATGGCTAGTGATCACTTAAAATATCACTAGAGCAACTAAAACTATTTTTTTAAAATTTTTAATTAATTTAAAGAGCTAAACATGGCTCATGGTTACTGTCCACAGCAGTAGATTGTCTCAGTCCTCAAATGGAGCTTTGATGCTGTAGGACAATGGTCGGCAAACTGTAGCTCGTGAGCCACATGCGGCTCTTTGGCCCCTTGAGTGTGGCCACGAAGTTTCATTCGCACTGTACGTGCGCGCCCACACGTGGTATTTTGTGGAAGAGCCACACTCGAGCCGCAGTTTGCCGATCACTGCTGTAGGACCATTCAGACTACTTCTCTAGTGTCTGGTTTCCATCTAGGCTAGAAACATCCCCTCTGGGAGGACCAGCTTGGTGGTGAGAAGTCCAAATACCATGAGACTGCCACATATAGGGATGTATAAGCTATTCACATGGAGAGATCGCAGAGAGAGGGAACCCCATGTGTTCTAGCAATCCATTTGAAGTATCAGAAATGTGAATGAAGAAGCCATATTGGACCTCTAGCCCAGTCAGGCCTTCGGATTGAGACAGGCCAGTAAGCCAGGACAAATGGAGTAGGGAAATAGACAGAGAGCTGAACAAACTGGCAGAGCAATTGACCGCAGATACAGAAAGTCACCTCCCTAGAGATAACATTAGGCCTCAGTTGTATTTCAGCTCCAAGTCCGAAAAGCAGGAAAACCAGGTGGGCAACAGTAGGACCAGCTGCAATGACTAAGGATCCCTGCCCTGACACTGACCAATCAGTGGAGACCATGACCCTGAAGGAGCACACCTAGAAAACTGATGAATAATCTGCCGAAACCCTCCCCGGAGACCTCCACTAAGATTCCCCCCCACAAGAGAGAGACAAAAGCCTCAGGCAAAGGCCCCAGCTTGTGCACCCCCTGTGGGGAGCAGCCCCACCATCCCCTTTTCTCCTTCCCGCTCTTATTCCCCCACAGGCAGGCGTATCCTAAACCGTAAAGGACCCCAGGAGACTTGCAACCAGGGGAGCAATAGGCAGCAGCAGCTCCTCCCAGGCTCACCCCTGAACCTGTTCCCAAGGCCCCCTTTTCTCTGCCTTCCCAGTGAGCTAGGGCAGCCCAGCCTAGGCTCTCATGTTGCTGCTTCCATGCAAAGCCCTCTCTTGTTCTACTGTCCCAGCTTTAATAAATGTTCCCGCATAGCCACCTGGACTCATGTGAAATTTTTCCTGCACTAAGTCAAGAACCCACACACTACTGGTGGGTCCTAGGAGACCCACCAAGGGCTCGATCCCCTTCCCAGTAACAAGATGATTCAGCCAGAGCTGCCGTCTGACTCTAACCATATGAAAACCCCCGAGCAAGAAGCTTCAGCTAATCCCACAGAACCATAAGAGATTACAAGTTTTTGTCTTAAACCACTAAATTTTGGGGTGATTTGCAAAGCAATAGATAACCAAAACAGAAATATCCTAAGAAATCGAGGTTCTATATTTCTTTGCCTACTCTCATTCCTAGTCATCTTTTCCTTTCTGTTTCCTACTTCCTTGCTTTTGGTGGTGTCAGCTTTCATGCTGAGCACTGAGTTTGCAGTTTGGGATAGTCACAATTAATCTGGCCTTCAACTATCCAAGGTTTCTGACCTCATGTTTAAAAGGCCTTTAAAATAAAGTTATTCGTTTTTTCTTTCTGCTTTCAAATAAGCCAACTTGGATCAATGCTTGCCTTTTTCTTTCTTAGCAAAGGCCATAAATAGTTAACACAATTTAACACAGATTCCACCCCCCTGGCCCCCATCAGTTGTCTTTTAAAAGTCAAAAGGCATATAGCTGCAAGGAGTGTCTTGGTCATGACTGTAAGAACCCACTGTTTACATTGGGAATTCTGCTTACTTGTGTCAGAATCAAACAATTTGTGCCAGAATCAAAATCAACATTTTAACATCTGCTTTGTTACCAGAAGAAAATGAGTGGGCAGGGAGAGGGATGTGTTGGGTATATACCCAACTGATTATATAAACAATGGCTCTTACATAAAACAAGACTCGTCAGGTAGTGAGATTCTATATAAGCTATTTATACAATTTATAAATTGTGCTATTTAACACATTTATATATCTTGAACTGTATCCCTTAATAATATACTTTTTATTCCAGTGAACACATTTATACAAATTTAAAAGGAATTTATTTTCAAGTGTCATGAAAACAAATGTTTAGAACAAGGATTACTATTTTGTCATTGTTCTTAGTGAGCATTTTTTATAATTGATAAGAGGGCAAATTTTGATCTGAAAATTTTATTGGGACTCTACTTCAGTGATTTTTTTTTTTCATTTCAGTTCTAAGTACAAATAGAAATTGGCTATGGATAATTCATATGCTTTCAATCAACGAAGCTCATGTAATGGAATTCCATCTGAGAATACAAACAACTTACTTGTGTCAGAAGATCATGGACAGAAAATCTTGAGTGTACTACAGAATTTTAGAGAACAAAATGTCTTTTATGATTTCAAAATAATCATGAAAGATGAAATAATCCCATGTCATCGTTGTGTGTTAGCAGCGTGCAGTGACTTTTTCAGGTACTTTACCTTGTGTATGCCTCAGATTTTATGATATGGATAATTAAGTTAGCTTTTTAAACTCTCCTCAACTTTCCATCCACAGGAGTATGCAACAATAATTTTTATTTCTTAAAAAGAGCTCATTAGAGCCTAGATCAGGGGTGGGCAAACTTTTTGACTCGAGGGCCATAATGGGTTCTTAAACTGGACCGGAGGGCCAGAACAAAAGCATGGATGGAGTGTTTGTGTGAACCAATATAAATTCAAAGTAAACATCATTACATAAAAGGGTACGGTCTTTTTTCTCAATAGTTTTATTCATTTCAAATGGGCCGGATCTGGCCCGCGGGTCGTAGTTTGCCCACGGCTGGCCTAGATTAACTAATTCTTTTTGAGCATGAAAATTTAGGACTATCTTTTGTGATGTTTTATAGAACATTAGTCCCTTAAAATGTTCAGGGGGAAATTGTTTCCATCTGCAGTCATTTTATGTAGGGGATCCCTGCACTGTGTCCTTTAGAAAAAGAGGAAAGAACAGATTCGTCCAAAATGGAAGCCAAGTTCAAAGAAAATGAGGAGCCTGAGAGGAAACCACATTTCAGTCACATATTGATTGTATCAGTGGATTATCGGGAAGAGAGGGACTCCCACCCAGAGGCTCTCACTATAGTAGTGAGAAGTTCCGCCAGAAGCCTTTCTGAAGGGGACCCAGCTTGCTCCAGTTTGGGCAGCCTTCTGCATATAAGTTGGCTCCCATGTAGATCATCTTACAGGGAGTGTCTTAGTCATGGCACTGTAAGAACCCACTGTTCACACTGGGAATTCTGCAAGGGCTGGTGTCAAACACATGACCCTGTGAGGCCTCTTGGTGGCATCCTGGACTTCAGCCGTCCTAGTCACGCTGCTGCAAACTGAAGTGCTCATTGCAACCTTTTACATTATGTTCAAGTTTGAAGCAATTTTTATTTGAAGTAAACAGGGTTTAAATCTCTAATAAACAAACAATGTAAGAGTAAAATTTAAGACAAAAATACAACTCTTATTAGCTGTTTGCCTAACTACACTGTATGTTTTTATCTGTTTTTTGTTTTTCCCCCCCAGTTCTTTTCTCAGATAACTTCTTTTATTTTTCTTTATACTTCCCTGGAGCCCTAACTGTTCTTACGCTCTGTCACGCTCAGGTTCCACCAGTTTCTTCCCCTCTATCGCAATCTAGTTTTTCTTCCAAGTAGTTCTGTTCTGCTCCTTATCCTCATGTCACCTCTTCATCAGAGGAAGCCGTACAGTGCAGTGCTGCAGCACTTGGCCTCTTAATACTCATGCCCTAAATCTAAACCCCAGCTCTACCATGTATTCGATAGGTGACCGTAGGTGTGGGGCCTGGTTACTGTTTCATTTTTTGAAATCACTTTCCCTTTTCCCTCAAGTGCTGTATGAAATGTGCCCTTTTAGATGTGTGTTTATCTTATTTGGTGGATTTCCCCCACACAGGCAGATGCACTTGCAACATCTGATATCTCACTGTATTCCTTCTTTCATAGGTCTCAGTGCTGCCAAATCAAAAATTCATTTTGAAAGAGACTTTTAAATGCTAACCGCAGAAGCACTATGCACCTTAAATAATTTTAGTTGTTACCTGCAGAGTTGGTACTGATTAACCAACCCATAAATAAACAAATTAAGTCATAAGAGAGAGATTTTATGAATAATACATAAGAACATCAAATCAGTATACAAAATTTGAATCTTTTTATAGCCTTCTTTGGATTAGTTGCTATAGCTCAGTTATAATGAATATTGTGCAGTATGGGAGTTACGTAATACATATGTTTTGTAGATAAATAGTATTGTATGTATCCATTCAAGTTTTAAACTAATTTATTATGATGCTTTGAAATATATTTTGAATTAACTTAAGGTTAAAGGAAATCTTTTCAAGGTAACACTGAAAATTTTCATGGAGTAGATTATTTCTGTTTACTTCTATGTTCTTTATTTTTGCAGGGCTATGCTTGAAGTAAACATGAAAGAAAGAGATGGTGGGAGTGCTACCATTACCAGTTTGTCCGCCGAAGCAGTAAAAGCTTTTCTTGATTATGCCTATACTGGGAAAACAAAGATAACAGATGATAATGTGGAAATGTTCTTCCAGGTGTCCTCGTTTTTTCAAGTTCCCTTCCTATCCAAAGCCTGCAGTGACTTCTTAATAAAGAGTATTAATATTGCCAATTGTTTACAGTTGTTGTCCATAGCGGATAGCTATGGCTCCCCCCGTTTGTTTGATCATGCGCTATACTTTGTGCAACATCACTTCTCCTTGTTGTTTAAGTCCAGCGAGTTCTTAGAGATGAATCTTGGAGTAGTGCAGAAATGTCTGGAATCGGATGAGTTAGATGTTCCTGAAGAAGAAACTGTCCTGAAAGTTGTCCTGAACTGGACTAAATATAACTTAGAAGCAAGGCAAAAGCATCTGCCTTATTTGATTAAAAAAGTAAGACTACATCAATTACCTGAGGAGACACTTCAAGACTGTCTGCTTAGTGAAGAGTGTTTACTCAAAAACACCAACTGTTTTGACATAGTCGTGGATGCAATTAAATGTGTGCAAGGTTCTGGTGGACTTTTCCCTGATGCGCGGCCATCCACAACTGAAAAATACATCTTTGTTCACAAAACTGAGGAAAATGGCGAAAATCAACATACATTTTGCTATAATATCAAAACTGATTCGTGGAAAATACTGCCACAATCACACCTGATTGATTTGCCCGGATCTAGTCTGGCAAGTTACGGAGAAAAAATATTCTTGACAGGTGGTTGCAAGGGGCCGTGCTGTCGAACAGTTCGGCTTCATATTGCAGAGTCATATCATGACGCCACTGATCAAACCTGGTGCTATTGTCCAATCAAAAATGATTTCTGCCCAGTATCAACCATGAAAACACCCAGAACCATGCATACATCGGTGATGGCTCTTAATAGATTGTTTGTCATAGGTGGGAAGACGACGGGATCTCAGGACATCAAAAGTCTCCTAGACGTTGAATCTTACAACCCTTTTTCCAAAGAATGGATGTCTGTTAGCCCGTTACCCAGGGGCATATACTACCCCGAAGCAAGTGCATGCCAAAATGTAATTTATGTGCTTGGATCAGAGGTAGAGATTACAGATGCCTTTAACCCATCGCTTGATTGCTTTTTTAGATACAACGCTACAACTGATCAGTGGTCTGAATTAGTAGCAGAGTTCGGGCAGTTTTTTCATGCCACACTAATTAAAGCTGTCCCGGTAAACTGCACGCTGTATATATGTGACCTTTCCACCTACAAGGTTTATAGTTTTTGTCCCGAGACTTGTGTCTGGAAGGGTGAAGGATCTTTTGAATGTGCAGGCTTTAATGCAGGTGCTGTTGGAATTGAGGATAAAATTTACATATTAGGCGGTGACTACGCACCCGATGAAATCACAGATGAAGTGCAAGTCTACCACAGCAGCAGGTCCGAGTGGGAGGAAGTGTCACCGATGCCAAGAGCCTTAACTGAGTTTTACTGCCAGGTGATTCGGTTTAACAAATACCGGGACCCCTGGTTTTCTAACCATTTCTAAAAGCAGTGTGTGCTTAGACATTGTAAAACTCTTCCGGTTCTAGAAACCTAGGGGAAGTTTGTTAAATAACAGTCGGTAAAAAAAGGTCTATACATCTTAAATTAAAATTTACCTTCTATTAGAGAATTACTGTGAATGTACACTGTGTAAGAATTAGCAGTTCCCAGAAACTTAAAATATAAAATGCATTTTACCAAAAACTATACTGAATATAATTTAATCTTGGAGAATCCAGAATACTTGTATTGTCTTCTGTAAATAAAACTCGAAGCTTGAATGTTTTCATTTTTAACAATGAAATACAAAACCAATCAAATAGTAAAAACAAAGTTCACAGATTTGTACTATGTAAATGGGAGACATCTCTTTAGGTAGTAAAAATGAATTATGTACACTATATTTTATGAACTGAAAAATAAATTACAAAGGTGAGAATCCTACCCTGTTACTACAGGTTTAAGAGTTACTGAATTCCTATCCTTTCTGATCATAGTTAGCTTCTTTTAAGTACTTTTTTCTTTCACCATTATTTGGTCAGAAATTTTGCTAAAATGCAATGTGTTTCCCCAGCATCCTAAACTGTACACTGAACATGAACATTTTTTATAATTCAACTTTTTAATGAGTCAACTCCTCATTAGGAGTGTAATGTACCATATTATACTTTCATAATGCTACCAGCAGTTACTGAAATGTTTTTAAAATTGCCGTTCCTATTAGAACTCAGTGTTAGTTGGCTTTGATGTCTTGCAGTATGTCTCCCTTATTTTCTGGCTCAAGCTCAATAAATTAACATTCTTGATTTAATATTAGTTCTAAGTGACACTGCCCTGAGTTTACTTAACATGTGTGAAGTTCTTGGATTCTTGGATGGAAATGCTGAGACACTTTTTCTGTATCATCGCCAGGTTCCAACATCATTGAGGATATAGGCAGTCGGACCTCTGGCTAGTGGATCATTATCATTGCATTTCTTAAACTATTAAATGCCCAACTTTGTGTTGCAAACAGGAATTTCAGCACTTAAATTAGTACCATATGAGTTTCCTGTGATGATAGCCAAGTGTAAACCACCAGGTTGGTCTGTTACTTTAGTAAATTATTCATAGTGAATTATTTTCTAAATTAAGAACAAAATTTAAATTTAGAAAATGTTGGTATTGATAGTAGTTTTCACAACCAACATCTGTTTAGATGTTTCATCATCTTTAACCCAAACAATGGAAGAGTACTCATCATCCTTGTTCTCAGCTAGGATGATTCTGGCTTTGCAAAAGGATATGCTTCTTTAATCAGTTTAAAAGATATAAGCATTTTAGGTTTTAAGACCCCCTATTTACATCTCAGGCAATGTGTAGATTGGATTTCTCCAATGTAGTTCCCATACTCTAGTAAATGTTAATCTGTTGTAAATGTCCATATTCTTTAGAAGTATGTTCCAAAGTAGAAATATACCTAAGTGAAGGTTCTTTTATTTTATCATATAAATGTATACAATCATAAGTTCAAATGTATTTTTCAAAATAGATTAGGATATTAGAACACATTATCATGCAATTACAAAACCAGGGACTGGCCCTAATCAGATAGGAAGTATTCTGTAGAATTGGTGGCCTTCTTCCCTGCCTACCTTAGTTGGCTCCTCTCTCTCTCTCTCTCTTTCTCTGGCTTTGAAAACAAATTTACACCATAACAGTGGGTGGCTTATATGTATGTGGATTCACTCAACTCTATCACTCTTCTCATCGCCCATTGATTAATGGTAATGTTTCTGGAAATAGCCTTGTAATCCAGGCCTGGGTGGCTCCCTCTGCATTTGGTATAATATACTTTCTAATGCACAGGGCCTCCTGCCTTGGTTTCTGTAATTGCTGCAGGCTATGTAATCATTTTTCCTGTTGCCATCCCTTTACATCTGTACCCACGTGCTCTTCAGCGTTTATATCTGCCAGAAAAGTATTCTCTCTAGTCCCAAATCCCCAAACTCTTCCTTTACTGTTCCTTTTCCTTGGCCCAATTGTAACCTGTGGTAGGCTTGTCCCTGTTAATAGTTGATGTTGTTCTAATTGTGTGCCTTCTTATAAGATAACACTTTAATTTGATCTATCTGCACTGGTTCTGTGTATTCAAAAATCCTCAAGCACCCAACCACACAGACACATGGTCAGTGACTGAACTGGTTATATGTTTTTGATCTTGTCAATCACCATGGCTTCACTGCCAAGAACCGTGTGTGTGTGTGTGTGTGTGTGTGTGTGTGTGTGTGTGTGTGAATAAATTCAGATCTCACTCTCCATTCTGGATCTCTGACGTGCAAGTTTCAGTGTTTTCTCATCTATTCAGTACCCCAGAAGGAGCCATTTTTTCTGCCTCTAAGATTAGGGAAGAGAGAATAATATTCTTTTATCGGTGACCTCTTCCTTAAGTATTTTTTTCCTTTCTAGTCTGATTTTCTTTCATTATCATTCTTCAGCCACTGCCGCAGTGTAAGAGACAAAATGATTGTGCTCATTATCCAGCTTGCTTTCAATCTTGTGGAAGAACTCTAACACTTTTAATCCTTTATCATTTCTCTTGCTCCACTACATTTGGATTATGCACACACAAAAAATGCTGATATTGTAAATCTTGTAAAATTGAAAGTAGGTATATGGCATTATTAAATGTAAAAAAGATTACACTTAACATTTTTTGAAATAAATTCAAAGTTAATGGATATTCCTAGAGTGATCTTCAAACTTGACTTAAAATGTGGAGCATCTTTTATTCATCTGTTGCCTGGAAGAGGGAGCATATGAAGAATATTCGAATAATCAAAATTGACTACATTCCCAAAACACTCAACTGTAGTTTGGGGATGGAAAGAGGTCTTTATCACCACATCCTGCAACATAATTCCATTTTCCCCAGATACCAAGAAGAGCAATTGAGTGTATGTTCAGTGTACCCAGTTCAAGTTACACGATTCGGGAATCGGAGTCAAGTATAGAGGGAAGCATTTGTTTGCATTTTGAGATATGGAAGCAATAAATTTAATGTAATGATTAAATATATTGTTGACTATATAATGTTACTTTTAGATCACCATTCTCAGTTTAATTGGATCCAGTGTTTGGAATATCTTTTCTCATATTAAGAATAGAATTTGTAAGACTCAAAAATGTCTCCCAATAGGCAGCTCTAGAGGGCAACCTAAAAGCAAAGGCTAGAATTTGTAGGGAAGCAGATTCCTGTTCAACATAAGAAAAAACTTTACTCCAAATTATAAAGCCACATATATAAAGAGACAAATGATCAAAGACTGAGGCATGTGGTACATGATTAGTCCAATAAATTCTTACACGGGAATGCACACCCCAAGATTTCTACATTCTATTTACATCCACCTTTTTATCTTAATAGTTTTCTGACATGTGACTAATTGCTTTCTCCTCCAATTTATTCAGGATTTTTGTAACAATTTCAATGGTTCTGCATACTTAAGATTTAAATAGGATTTGAGTCTTAAAACTACATCATTTCAAGAGCGTTCCTATTAAAATTTGTTCTGTGTTCTTTAATTACTCAGGAAAAAGTCTGCAAATGGTGCTGACATAATGGTAAGTTGCTAATAAGGATTTTTCCTTCTGCCTACCATAGGTGCACATTTGTTTTATATAAATAGAAACTGAAAGACCAGTACCTAACATTTTCTTCTGAATTATTGTTCTTATTTTGCTGCTAATGTATCTATATATTTAAATGTAGTGATTCTCATTAAAGGTTGTGTGATTTAAGAGAAATCTTTATATCTTAAAAATGTAGGTGTATTTTGTAATAATATTTCATGGCACTATGATGCTTAATCAAATTTAATATCTAAATAGGGGATATAATCAGAGGATGATGCTATCACATCAAAAGACAACTATTCTAAACCATATTAAAACTTGAAAACAACCAAAATAACCTTAGCATCTAATACAGCTTTCACCTGTTACAGAAAGCCCCTCTAAATTCTAAAACATCCTTGAACGATGATTTTTTTAAAATTTGTAAGTCAATGTTTTCAGTGGTAAAGAGCTCACCACTCCATTTTTGAGCAGTTCTATTGGAAAGTTCTTCCTAACATTAAAAGCAATTCTGCCTCCTGGTAATAATTTCCAGCCCTTCGTCCTAGATTGCTGTCTCCATAAGTGTCCCACTTCTCTAAGATCAAAGCCTCATTTTCCTTCTTATTTACATGTTTAGCAAGCACTTTAAAACCTGCCACAATGGCCAGGACGGCATGCTTCTCCTTGTATAACTGCCTCTGTGGTGGGTTGCACCTGACCAGCATCACAGAAACTCTTGATAATTCAGACATCTCTGTAGATCCTATTAATCCAATTTGGGCTGGAGCCTTTCTTCTCTCTTCTCTCTTCTCTCCTCTCTTCTCTCTTCTCTCTTCTCTCTTCTCTCCTCTCTCTCTCTCTCCTATCCTCACTCCCTCCTTCTACTCTTATCAACATAACCACATCATATTTTCTGGGAGAGGAATTTTAATGTCTTTTTATCATGTGTCATTGGATGCGGTTTTCAGAATTTTAAAAACACATCTAAAACAAGACTTGAAAAAGTGTACACAAAAAAAGAAAGAAACCAAAGTAGTCACATCCTTGATGGTTAATGAGGACAATTTACTTGCAAATTAATCAAGACCAGCCTTATGGTAATAACGATCTAAGTTTGGAGATTCATCTGTGCTGTTAACCAGTTGGATAGAGTATATTTCCATAAAACAGTGCCATTATTATAAAAAAAACTTTATGGGTCACATAGCTGTATTCATTTCAATATCTTTGGCCACATTCCCAACCATAACTGTCTAGCTCAACAAATTATTAATTTGGTTCCAAGGGTAACAAGGCTGCTGGAGTAATGAGAGCAGCACAGTTCTCTGAGTATCATGATTGTGTAAATATTTCTTTACATGTCTGTCTTCCTCATTAAATTGGAAGCTCTTAGGAATAGGGACGTACATTCCTCATTACTGGACCTAGTAATTAGCACAGTGTCTGCATATAATAAGGCATCCAATAACTGATAATATATTGAGCTAATATGTGAAGTAAAATATATTAGTTATATTGTTAATGAATGGGTTTGATACAATTGTACATTTTGCAGCTTTTTTCATGTACAAAGGAAATTAATTGGATTTGGATTTTACATTTTAGAATGCTATCACATTGTACTTGAGTTATTTATGTCTTCTTTTTAAAATATTTGATATCTTTTTCGTTTAAAGTCTGAGAAATTGGGTTCGGTAACTCATACAACTTCAATTTTTGTTAGTATATGGGAAAGTTAATAATGAAGCATTTTTTAATTTGAGAGTGAAATTGCATTATTCAGTGCACTGCCCACCTTTGGAGAACATGTATAGTTGATTATATAACTGTACAGGATATGCATAGTTGGTTCTTGAAAGTGAAATTATAGATTCAAAGTCATTTATCCACCTAATTTTTTAGTGCTTATAGCTTATTTATTCTCAGTGAATTTTATTTATACTAATTCTCTGTTTCCTTTCAAAGGCAATAATAGAGAAGACAACGACTACACATTTTATTATTAGTCAACCGTTTCTCCTATAAGAGCATGATAGTTTTAGTGGCCTTTTTCCCATTTGGGGGATAGTGCTCAAAGCTACTTATATTGCATACACAAGTAATTTGCTTAATTTCTCTGTCATTGGAATGTGGGCTTTTCTCATAGGCTGTGAGAAATAAAATCAGCATTTTCGCAGGTTCATGTTAACCAGATTAACATGTAATAAAACATGTCCATTCTAGAAAACAATTATTTATTAAAGTGTATCTCAGAAAAGAATACATTGTTTGTATTTATTGTCATCAGAAATAAAAGGGGTAGATAAAGGTGGATGTTAAGGCTCTTGTTTTCTTGACTCCCCCTTCCCCCGATGCCCTGCAGGGCTCTGCTGACTCAGAATCACTGAGTTGCAATGTCAAGGTGAAGGGCTTCTGTAGCGCTGATGACATGTCCTGTAATGTAGACCTCGGCCTGAAAGGATGGAGTACCTGCTACACTTCAGATGAGTCATAGGTGGGAAGAGGCCTCCAGCCCCTGACTGAGCTAAGAACAGACCTGATGCTTATGAACCACAGATGACAGCAGCAGAAGCTCGCTGACCGTGCAGGACCAGGTCCACCCTGGACCAGACAGCTGCCAGGGTATAAGCCTTCCTACCTCATGTGCCCAAATGCACATGGAGTCGAGGTAGTGACTGGGATCAAAGTCTGAAAGACTGTGGTACCATGAAAATGCTTTTTAAATGTTTACATTGAACAGGCGCTGTCAATTGCAGTTCCTGTGATGTTTCCTCTTTCTGGACAGGCCCATTTTTCTGTCGTGTTCCTGGTTTTCCTAGGTGATGAGCTGTGGTTTACTCAATGACCTTAGCTCCCATGTCACTCTCCGGAGACTGCTGCCCAGGTAGAAACAGAGTTCCTCCTTGGAAACCCACCCCTTGAAAACCTAGCTCTGTTTTTATCCCACCTGATTGCATAAGGCGTTTCCTTCCCTGAATGCCTGAGGCTATCCACTGCTCTCTGGTTAATCCTTGGTCCAATGTACCTGCTCCAGCCTTTTTTCCTTATCATCTCCAAATCTCTGTGTGCCTCCAGATTTCTCCAGTGCACTTTGCCCTCAAACTTTCACTCATCTCCTTCTCTTTAATCCCCATAGGCAGAAGCCTTTAGCAAAGTTTACTAAAACTGTAAGACCTGGCCTGTTACCACCTCGTTGGGGATGCCCCCCTCAAGTCGGGGGCCTCCTCTCTCAGTCAACATTTGCATACTTGCAGGCCCCCAGTGAAGCTGTCCTCTTGAGTCACTAATCAGAATGGTTAATCATCGCAGTCTGATGCTTTGGCATTTGAAGTTCTTTCCCTGAATTCCAACCCTGACTGTATTTCTCCCCCCCCCCCTCCTCCCCACTACAGGACAAAAAAAGGTAAAAGTCCCTCTTTTCAAAAATTTATCTCCATACTTAGAGAAAATAAATTGCAAGGAGCATATAAACTAGCAATTTGTCCCTTTCCAATCACCAAGCTTTACTTAATATTGTGCTGCAGGCTCTTATGCATGTAATATGTTACAAAATACGTTTTGTCAAAAGCAATTTGTAGCAATTAGCCAATACAGAGATTTTATTAATTTATATATTTTTTTCCAGAGAAAATAAACCTTAAAAAGTAATACTCTTTTCACTGTGAATATAGTTTCAAGATCATGTTTATAAAGTGTTTTGAGGTTTTTGAAACTGCAAAAATATTGAATTTTTCAGCAATGCAGCACTAAATCAATCTACCTAATGAACATTAATTAAAACTACAGACTATATTTTTAAGTATTTGTATAAAATCCATGTTTCCAGGATAAAGTTTCTTTGTACTTAATGACTTTTATAATTTTAAAACTTCCAGAGGTTTAATGAAACTAAACTTAAGGTGACACATTAATTATTCATGAAAAAAATCAAGAAATCTGTGGGATCAATCTTAAAATGGGGAATCGAGGCATACATATTAAACAGATCATCCTAGTACTTACAGAGTTAGATTCCACTGCACCTGATAAATACTTTCGCATTTCTTCCGAGTTCAGGGCTTGTTGAACCTGATTTTGCTCTAGTGGTAATTAGTGAATCTTCCATGGGAAGTTAATTACCCTTCCCTAACCCTGAGCAAAATGTATGCTATAAAATGAGTTTAAATTTTTTAATCAAGGAAAACCTTTCCCTGTAGGCTTTTCAGATTTAAGAAATCCAATTAGCCTTAATGTTTTTCTTTTATAGATTAACCACTCTTATGTTATGAAACATTAATTGAAACTCAAACTATTTATAGCTCCTCTTTTAGACACCCTTTTAACAAATCAGTAAAATTTTGTTTCTTTTACCAGTGGTATTCACCTTTTGTCTATTCCTGGAGGAGTGTATATTGCCACAGTATTCTTCTTTTTAAATGCAGTTCATATTTCTCTTACAAGCACAAATTATATGCACTACTAGGAGCCCGATGCACAAAATTCGTGCAAAAGTAGGACTTCACAGTCCCAGCTTCATCCAGAAGTTCGTCCGGGCGGTCATTCGTTCAGCTGTTCTGCTGTTCGGTCGATTTGCATACTACACTTTTATTATTACAGATTGTTTCTAAGAATTTTTATGAAGAAAATTATTCAAAGGTTGAAAGCATCTAAATTTCTTCCATGGATGAGTGAAATGACGTTCTAACCAATACTTTTTGTAATGGTATGTCTACCAGCCACATATAGTGTCAGGCAGTATTCCTCAAACTGGCTTCAAAAAATAAGTCATTTGTGGTACATGTTAAAACTACCAAATCAAGGACCTGATTCACTTAGTTCTAGATTCAGGTGCTGGAACTCACATTTTAAACAAGCACTGCAAATAATTCTTATTGCTGAGCAAGTTAGGAAGTATACTGGGTAAATGCTGAAACCTCCGCTCTTACTCCTAGCATAGAGAGTGGTTTAAAAGCCATATAAGCTTGAGCAAGTTACTTAAACATTCTGTGTTCCAGCTTCTTTATTGGTAAAATTGGACAATAGTTGTACCTACCACAAAAGCTTATTGTGAGAATTAAATCAAAGAATGTATGTGTACTTGGCACAGTACATGGTGATGAAAAATGTTCATTACATGTCTGTCTCCTCCCTCTCCTTTTTCTTGTTTGATTTCAGCAGAAGCCATCTTCTCTCTAATATGCTACCACAGTCTTACATTCTACAATAGAGATAACATTTTATATCGGAAAAGTCCCTAATTCTGCTTTGACAGAGGGACTTGATGGGACAAAGTAAACCTTTGCCTAATCCAGTTTAGCTTTCACTTGGCCCTAAACATCCTCAAGGCTCAACCATGGGTTTCTCATATGTTCATTTAGCAACCATTTCCTGAGCTTCTCCTTTGTGCCATCACTATACTAGAATTGAAGGTATATTAGCGAGAAAATCAGATGTGTCCCCTGATCTCTGAGTACCTGGCTACTTCTGGCAGTCTCTCCAAATTTGATTTTGCCTGATTTCTGTTGCTAACACTTTCAATTTGGCCCCATTTTTTTTGTTTGGTTTCCATTCTCTCTCAGTTCCTTGGCTTCTACATCTGACCTGCCCAGATGAGAATTCCATTTTGCTTCTCAACCCACAGCTCCCAAGTTCAACCATGGCTCCTGCGGCTGATGCCAGATGGAGACTAAAGCTCACATCTCCTGCACGCATGAGTGGAGGGGTCAGACAACCAGGTGGTCTGACCCTAGAGTGGTCCTAAAATGGCTGGGAGTTCTTAGCAGTCTACAAGGAATTTCAAATCTATCAAATATTTTATTTCACAAACTGCAATGTAGACAAATCTTTGAACAAAATTTAAAAACATTTTTTTTTCTCAATAATCTACCTTGGTATTTCTATTTAATGTGCCATGTTGGCAAACTCTCAGGTATCATGCAGAGTAGTACTTGAACATTTTTCACCCGGTAAATTGGTGCAATTACCATTTCTCATCAGTTCTCCAGGCGTACATCCTCATCACAATAGAAGAGACCTAAGAAAATCTGCAAAGGTCAGCTTATTTATATTTAGAAATAAAAATGGTGATGGTCAGTCATGAAAAATTCCTCTTATGTATAATGATCCCTCTCATCAATGATTTAAGAACTCTCCTGGATCCTGCAACTATAATTAATGCAGCATTGGGAGAGTGAAAGGAAGCAGAGGCAAGCAGTATAAATTCGAAGTGACCAGGAATATTGAGGGGATCTATACAGTGTTGAGTCAGGGCCACAGTGGAAAGGGTAGGGCGGAAGGAGAGAAACCAGTGATTCTATAAGAGGCATTATTTCCACAGCTGCTGGAAATTGTCATTTCTCTACCCTGCTTTGCTAAGCCAACATCTCTGGCCTTACCTTGGCTGTAATTCCTTATGGCCAACAGTTATGTCAATCTATGTCTTTTGCGGGGGAGGGGGGGTGACGAGTGTAGGGTATCTTATGGGGAATAGGAGGGATTTGGTTTATAGATTCTGTTGAGGCCAAAGAAGAGACATGCAAACACAGTAGCTGGGCCCAGACTTCCTTGTTATAAACTTCCATTGTATCATAGTAATCTCAGGAGAAGCCTGCACATGAAGACCCTGATGTTTAATAAATGAGATGGTTTCCTCTTGCACATTCTGCTTGAAGCACCTTCCTTTCTTCAGCTGGGGCCTAGGTGCAGTCAACATTTCTGTGGAATAACACTGTCACAGTTTGACTGAGAAAGCACCTGGCATGAGGTGTCACTGTCGCCTACGAAAAGCCAGAGGGCTACCCTAGACAGGTCCTCATCGAATGGCAGGAGCGTGTAGCCGCCATGTCTGTGTTAATTATGTATTTCTACATGACAAACTACATCGAATTTGATGGCTTAACACAATCTTCTTGCTCATGACTCTGTAGGTCAGGAATCTGGGCAGTGCTCACCAGGAACAGCTTCTCTTTGTTCCACATGGCGTTGGCTGCAGAGATGCACCGAGGGCTGGCGACCTCACGTAGCTGGTGCCTTGATGCTGGCAGACAGTGGGACACCTCAGTTCTCCTCATGTGGCCTCTTTCCTCTAGGGCTGCCCTGTCCAATATGGTAACCACTATCCACCTGTGACTATTTACATAGCAAATTACATTATTCGAAAATTTTAAAAAGTAACCATTTAGCTTCTAGGTCACATTTCAAGTTCTCAGGAGTTATATGTGGCTGGTGGCTGCCACCTTGGCTGATGTATAGCATTTCCGTCATAGCAGAAGTTTTTCCTGGAAAGCACTGTTCCTGGGCTCTTCTCTCCATGTGGTCTCTCTCCAGCAGGGT